AAATATATATATTTATTTATTTATTTATTTATTTATCCATTTTTTTCTCTTCATCACAAAGCAGCTTTCCTGCTGGGTCCTATCGTTTCTGCTCCATCGCCACTGAAATTACTTTAGTTTACTACAGACAATCCTTAACTCATGCTCTCATATCATTTTCAGCTTCCCTGGTATCTAGAAAGTTTGTTCTCATGTTTCTAACTTTAAATTCTTAAGAGAAAAAGCTACCTGATTCAGCTTCTCTTCAGAAATTAACACACAACTCATTCAATCCTGGTAGTTCATGTAATCACTACCCTTGGGCAAGAGGCTTACTCCTGAGGGCCACTTAGGCCCACAAAACTGATTTGACAGGCAAGAAAATTGAAAAGCTTCCTGTGGTTTAAAACATTGGCAACAAGGTCTCTGAGTGAGCCAGTTTCCCACAGAATGCAGTGCATAAAGGGTAGGGCTAGACAGTGTATAAAGACTCGCCGACAAAAAATGGAAATGTCACGATGAATCTCATATATTGAACTCTTCCAACATTGACAAAATCAAATTAAATCCAGTATCATATCAGTGAGATCATAAAGTTGAAATCTGTGAAAGTGCATAGAAAAGTACTTCACCACCATACAAAGATGAAGGCTGGTATCATGAATTCAAGGCTTTCACTTCCTCATCCAATAGCTTGTACCTCCTGTGGGCCAGGCACTGAACTATTTACTGGGGAAAGCAGTCACCACTTCTCTTCTTAAATATCAGTTACCAGGGCAGTGATGCATACCTGTTTTTAAAGCAATTAAATGATTTTATTTCTTTTTAAATGAAACCTGAATGACTAATCATAGTTACTTCTCAGCTCCTCAAGCCTACATAGCAGACGCAGCCAGTCCTTGAGTGGGACTTCTAAGAAAGACACAGGCAGTACACTGATAACTCAGTGAAGTGACATCAGCTTTGCATCCGTGCTGAATGGATGGTCCTGTACAGCATCCAGAAACTGCTGCTGACAGCATCATCTTTCAAAGGTACTTAAAACCGACTTCCAGTACTCTCCTGGCTTCCAGATATTCTGTGGCTCGTATATTAGAATCAGCGATGGGTGGAGGCTGAGCATATATCTTTTTGTATATACACTACGTGTTCCTGCCTTTCAGATTCTTCCTAGACTATTAACAAAGGGCTTTCACTCTTTTTTTTCACTTTGGACTCCTGCTCCCCACACCCTGCAACACCGTGCAGCTTTGCTGGATAATGCTGAGCAGCTACAATGAGCTACCCAGTGGGATTGCTGAAATTTTGGGCAATTGCCGAAATTACTCTGTGTAGACACATTCACACACGTGGAGATAGAAAAATTGTTTAAGAACCAGGGGACCCATTGGAATAAAAGATGTCGGCTAAGTGCTAAACATTATTATTTCATCTGAAAGAAGAATGAGGCAAAAAAAAATAATTTCTAGGAAGGCTGAAAATGTCTCAGAAGTCTTATGCTAATTATTATCTCAAAAGTTCATCTCCAGCCTCCAAGCTCAGCAAACTGGACCAGAAATCCATTTCCCTCCTGACAATCTTTCAGCCTGTACTAACATTCCTGCTTCTAATTACTTCAATTAAAAGTGCTTTATAATAAAATGTTGTCATCTCTCTTCCTCAGACCTCAGAACTATGAAGATAATTGTCAAATTGTTCTTTCACACTCCCAAATGAGATTTTCTTCCCAGTACAATAAGCTGTTTCATCCCATTTCCTAGTGATAAAGAAAACAGTAAGTAGCCTTTCTGAAACACTGAGGAAAGATTTGCCTTCTTGTATCCTGGCTTGTTAAATAGTATGACAAACTGAGCAGAGTCCCTTACTACACAGATTCATCTTTTGCTTACAGTTTTTATATCACCTGGGACTGTCAAATACACGTGCATTTTTGTATCTGGCATCAGTCATCAGGATGTGGAAATCGGATTATCAATAGAAGTACTCTCCTGGCTCTTTGAGATAGACTGCTTTGTTGTTTCAATCACATCTGTAACATGAGTTAACGTTCAACAGCCAGAAAACATTTGTTGTCTCAAAGAGGGACTCTAATAACTGAATTGTGCCATCCATTCCTCACAGAGGACACAGAATAGCTGGTAATGACAAGCGCAGACTGGTGAAGTTGACTTGGTCAATTACCCTCAGCTGAAATGAGGGCTCTATGAAGCACTTCACAGATATACATGGCTTGGAAGTGATAGGAAAAGAGACATACTTAACTTGCCGACATAATAGGACACAGTCCTCATTTGAACAAATTGGGATTTGACTCTATTTTCTGTCATTTCTTCCCATTAAAACAATAGCACAAATCTTTACTGGTCATTCAGCCTTGTTTACAAGACAACAGTTTCTACTACAGTTATAGATCTCTATTTTTTCTCTTTCTGTTTTGAAACAATGCTGCTCAATGTGAAATCACTTATCCACGGTTCACAGAACAGCAATGGTGGCATCACCTAGAGTCCAAATATTAATTACCTGTAAAAGAAACTTGAAATATTCAGCCTCATGTATTTGATAGAGAAAGTTTTAAATTTTCTCCCCAGTATGATTGTATTTTTGTTGGACTAAAAGGATGTTATACAGAAAGTTGAATAATGAAGAATTTCACACTACACAGAAAATGCTAGAAAACTACATGCACAAATTCAAATGACTTCTTTTAGGCAAGGCTTTGAAAGGAGATGTGTGGCAATAAAACAAAGCTCAGAAAGAGTAGGAGTCTGTATTTTTAGTGATACCTTTGACCCATTAAACTAAATGTGGAGCTTTCCACTTATTATTTGAGATTAAGTTAAATATAAACATTTTGTCTGGTATTTGCATCGTATCCTAATTTATAAGCACTCTCTCATCTTTTTACTATCTTCAGAGACCTCAAGAGAGCACAGAGCAAGAGACATCACAATCCCAGATTTGAAGTTATATTACAGAGCTATAGGTCATAAAACCAGCATGGTACTAGCCCAAAAATAGGTACAGTGATCAACAAAACAGAAAAGAGGATGTAGAAACAACCGTAGACACATTCAACTATTTGATCTCTGACAAAGGGGCCAAAAACATACACTGGAGGAAACATAGCCTCTTTAACAAATGGTGCCAGGAAAATTGGCTATCTACATGCAGAAGATTGACTACAGACCCATACATCTCCCCATGTACGAAACTAAAACCAAATTGAATCAAAGGTCTACATTTTAAAACAGAAATACTTAATCTGCTGGAACATAAAAAAGGCAAAACACTTGAAGTCACAGGTGTGGGCAAGGGCTTATTGGACAGAACCAGCTGCACAGGAAATAGTACAGAGAATCAACAAATGGGATTACACCAAATTAAAAGCCTTCTGCTTCAGCAAGGAAAACCCAATAGTGTGAAGAAAAAATTGACAGACTATGGGGAAAAAACTCCCAGCCACTCCTCAGACAGAGGACAAATATTTAGCATATACAAAGATCTAAAAATATTAGAGCTTCCCAAAATCAAAAGGTGGGCAATTGAAATGAATTGGCATTTCTCAGAAAAAGAAGTACAAAAGGCTAAAAAAGTTCAAATAAAAGAAAAGTTCGTATAAACAATGTTCAACATCACTGGGCATTTGAGAAATGCAAATTAAAACACTGAGATTCCATCTCACTCCAGAAAGAATAGTTATCATGAAGAAATTCAATAACAACAAATTCTGGTGAGGCTGTGGGGAAAAAGGAACACTTTTACATTTTTGGTGAGAATGTAAACTGTGAAAGTCAGTGTGGAGATTCCTCAAAAAACTGAAAGTAGAAATTTTAATTTATGTAGCTATTTCCCTTCTAGATATCTTCCCTAAAAATATTTTTAAAATATCCTATTACAGTGACACACACATACCCATGTTTATAGCAGCACAATTTATAATAGCTAAATCTTGGAAGTGACCTCTGTGTTCGCCTACAATTATATAAAGAAAATGTGGTATTTATGCACCATGGTGTACTTCTCTGCCATAAAGAAGGACAAAGTTGAATCATTTGCAGGCAAATGGATACACCTTGAGCTCATAATGCTAAGCAGGATAAATCAGACACGCTGAGAAATGCAAAATAAAGAGCAAAACAAAAAATAGCAGGAAGTATAGAGACAGATTTTGTTCAGATAGTCAGGGCGTCAAGAGACAGGGGAACCAAGATAAGTCATGTAAAGGTACAAGATCCCAATCATGAATATAACTGCATACCTAAAATGTACCAATAAACTTAATAAAGATTTTTTTTAATCTCAAAAAAAGAGAGACGGGAAGAGAGAGAAAAGGGATTTAAAAAAAAAGAATTAAGATGTGTTAGGTATGTGTACAACTCCCCAGAAGGAATGTAAACGTTATGTAATGAAAATATGTACTCATGAAAAATAAAAATGAAATTAAAAAAAAAAGAAATGCAAAGACTGAAACAAAGTCTAAACAATTAAGGGTTAAAATAACATTTAGCTCTTCCAGGAAAAGAATGCTGAGGACTATAAACTCCAAATAAAATAATGCTTCCTTTCCTTAAAGTGAAGCCAAATCAATTTTGATTCTTCCATTCAATTGAAAAAAATCTCGGTAAAGGAAAGAAATTTATCTTATTTATATTTCTCTCTTCTGCAAATTGCCTGGCACATAGTAGGCAGTTAGTGAACATTTGTTGAATGATGGAATGGTGAGTCACCTCACTCGATTTTATTTTAACTTTTCCAGTGCTTTGTATTGTGTGGACTGACAGACTTCTCAGCAACAATTTGATTTGGAAATGAAGCCAGAAAACAAGAATGTCTTTCTATGCTCCCTCTTTCTGTCACAAACGGCTCTGTACTCCAGACTCACAATGTAAATGCTTAACCTCCCCAGTGCACCAACAAAGCTGTGATTTTCTTGTGATTCTGTTTTTAAAAAGCCCAGGACCATGCTTGTGTTTGTAACTCTTTGTGTTGACTGTAGGTTTTGATGTTTTTTGCCAGTTCCCTTCTCATACTGTCAAATTTTGTTTTATGTTCCCTTATTCTTTCAACAATTTCAAGTGGGAAAAATGCTAATTACCATGGGCTTAATAGCAGTTCTGAAATGCACCAGAACACCAGGGTCTCACAAATACCTGTCACCACAGAAGTTTTCAATTACCATAATTCCATTCCTAATTCAAATTACCATAATTGCCCTCCATTAATGCAACTTTCTTAAAGCTGAAACATCAAAGAACCTGGCATTCACATTAGCTTAGTTGACTACTTGCAAAAATAAACAGTGTCTGTCCATTTTGCAAATAGGATGACATTAGCATGGAAAAAATATACATTTATCAGAGCTCTTAGTTCATAAGACCTGTCTTATTATATTATGACTATTCTGTCAACATTTGTAAAAACAAAAACATCCATATCTGCCTTCCTATCTCTTCTATTCCACAGGAATTGTATAAAGACTGTTCTGATTATTTCAGCATTTTCCACAAGAAGAAAATTCAGTCTATAGGCTCCCTAACTTTGTTCTTACAAATCCGTTTGAATTAAAAAGTACTTTTACTCCCCACAAAAAATGGCTGCTATCAAGAAAACAATCAATAACAAATGTTGGCAGGGTTGTGGGGAGAAAGGAACACTTCTCCATTGTTGGTGGGAGTGCAGACTGGTGCAACCACTATGGAAATCAATATGGAGATACCTCAAAGAGCTGGGACTAGAGGTTCCATTTGACCCAGCCATCCCTCTGCTGGGTATCTTTCCAAAAGAATTAAAAGAATCATATCACAGTGATATGTGTGCACCCATGTTTATAGTGGCACAGTTTGTAATACCTAAAACTTGGAAACAGCCTAATTGCCCATCCGTTGGAAACTGGATAAAGAAGATGTGGTTTTCCTATAAA